ATGTACATAAATGTTCTTTTTCTTGGCACTTGTTACATGTGTTGATCTGAGCCTGGAACAAATATGTTTCACTGACATGTTTCCTCAGGTGTCTGGTTGTCTACCCCTGGACTCAGAGGTATTTTGGCAACTTTGGAAACCTCTACAACGCCGCTGCCATCWYTTCAAACCCGTTAGTTGCAAAACACGGGACAACTATCTTGAATGGTCTTGACCGGGCTATGAAGAACATGGACAACATCAAGGAAACCTACACCGAGCTCAGTGTGCTGCACTCTGAGAAACTACACGTGGATCCTGACAACTTCAAGGTAGAGAAGACTGTGGAGCTGTTGTTGTCTCCATTTAATGAGTGTGTCTGACAGAGAAGCCTCTTCACCCCTCATGTTGTGTTGTGTTGTGTTGCAGCTGCTGGCTGACTGCCTGACCATCGTGCTCGCTGCTCGGATGGGTGCAGACTTCAGTGGTGAAGTGCAAGCAGCTTTGCAGAAGTTCCTKGCTGTGGTGGTGTCCTCCCTGGGAAGACAGTACCACTAGAGAGCTGCAGCACAAGAGAAGAACGTCACGTGCTGACCATTTGTTCAGAGCCTCTTTGTTTTGCTCTCAAAAACAAATAAAGTAAATGGCAAATTAAACAAATTGTCTATAATCAATTAAATTGATTTAAAACAATTAAAACATTATACTATACTAAGTGTGGGCATGAAGAATAAAGTATTTCAGATAAAACCTTTCTTAGACAGGAACAACAGGGCTGATAAAAAGTAGTGACAGGTGATTGTWGCTTACTGCTGTTACAGTCTATATGTAGATGAATAACTCCACAGAAGTACTGACCAAAAATTAACAAACTTCKACTGGTGTTTATCTGAGTTAACATTAAAACAGATATACATCTGTATGTATATATATGTTATATATATATATGTATATGAACACACACTTACTGTCACAGTCAGTCAACCATCCTCCCACCTCTCAGTACTTTTCCATGGACTCCGCCTCTGCTTCATCTGCTTCATCTGCCAGCCAAGCCACACCCTCTCACCAATCCAACACAGCTGCTCCTCAGCACCTGCAATCAGCCCAGTATATATTCACCAGCTCCACTCTCAGTCAGTTGCCAGATTGTTCTATGCCTTCATGCAAGACTTTCCAGCAGTTATCTCCAGACTGATTCTTTGTTGCCGACCCTGCCTGTCTCTGACTAACCTGCCTCGTCCAAMACCTGGTAATCACCTCTGCCTTCCGTCCCTGACCAACTCTTCTGCCTTTTGCTGTCTGAATTGCCTGCCACCTGATCTGCTGAGAGCTGAGAATAAAGACTGTTACCAACTGTCCATGCTTGTTGTGCTGCATTTGGGTTCAAACCATACCTTTACAGTACAATCTGACCACGAAATGGACTCAGCGCACACAGCGTCACCACAGTCACGCCTGGAGAGTGTGGAAAACATTCTTCAGCAGCATGAGGCTCTGCTCAACTCCACTGCAGCAGGGATACATCAAGCTGTCGCCACCCATAAGCAAGCAGCTGCTAGCCAGGAGCAGGCGCTAGCTTTGTTAGCCGCACAAGTACAGCACCTCACCGCTTCCTCTCATAGATGACAACTCCAGCCCCACTGCAGCATCCTCCTCTGCTACACCTCCGCCAGCGTCCCCTGGGCCATTCTCGGCGCCACGTGTGGGGGCCCCGGAACGCTATGCGGGGGATCCTGAGAACTGTAATCCTTTCCTCACGAACTGTTCCATCCTGTTTGCCCTGCAGCCGCACACCTTTGCTTCTGAGGAGGCCAGGGTGGCTTTTACCATCAACCACCTCACTGGGAGGGCTCGCCTGTGGGGAACCGCCGAGTGGGAGCGTCGGACTCCAGCCTGCATCTCCTTCCAAGCCTTCGCCGCCGAGCTACGCAAGGTATTTGGGAAGTACTCCCGGGGTCCGGATTCCATTGGGGGTCTGCTGAGTCTACACCAGGGGGGTCAGACC